GCCCGCCCGCCCGCCCGCCCGCTCACGTGATAACATAATACGTCCCCGTCTTCGACGGGCGTATAAAAATTCATATCTCGGAATACATGAGTCAGCGAGGAAAATTAAAAATTCAAATCTCCTAGTACAGCCTTATGACACAAAATATTCTTTATTCATATCATACTGTTAATATAATTCTGATCAGATACACAACAAAATAATTTCCATACTGTGAGCCGAGTGAATTATACGGAGATGTGTCTCTAGCTAAATTATGTATACAGTTTATTGAATGTATTTCATTCCAGACAGAGAGACCATCAACAACAGGTGCACTTATAATTACCTGTCGAGTGTTTTGATTTAAAGCTTTAGTTTACCAAGCTAATGTTATGTCAGGGATAGGCAGGATGATGTTATATAGGGAATGTTTGGTGGAAATACTACTCGGTGGGACTGTGCTTATGTATACTGATGGGAGCTACCATTAGCTATACCGAGGGGAGCTACCATTAGCTATACTGAGGGGAGCTACCATTAGCTATACCGAGGGGAGCTACCATCAGCTATACTGAGGGGAGCTACCATCAGCTATACTGAGGGGAGCTATTGTTGATATTACTTCTTTGACCCAGATGTATTAGAATGGTATATTAGGAGAAAACTGATGTGTAGTATTGAAATAAGATTTTATGTGTGAGCATGATCCTATCACCAGGATGCAATACATAATGTCAATTTATCAATTTATACATGTTCAAAGTTTTTTTTTTAAGATATGTAGCCCCTTGTTATAAGAAGGAAAAGTTTGTTTTTCCAAAGATCCAACATTAAAATCTTTCATAAACCAGGGTGTACTTGAGAAAATACTTCCTGTATTCTTTAGTTAGCTTATCTTTATATATAATACACTTACTTGGACAATTGCTGTACATGTTATCATTTAATTTTAGCACATTCTTATTTTTGTGATTTTTCTTCCAACGACATATATATTCACTAGGATTTCAATTTATAAAGAGACTTCGTCTAATTGCGTCTTAATTATTTTTCGCAAAATATTTTGATTTGCGTTAGGAAAGGTTCATATTAAGGATCCAAAGAAACCCTAGAGAAAACCCCGGAACTCATGTGTATGTAAGTTACCTCATCGATCTCACACAGGACAACACTTTGTACGTCATGTTTGAGGACTTCGCGAACGACGCCCCCATCACCCCCTCCGACCACCAGAACCTGCAACAGAAACGGCCTTCAAAATCCTCAGGTATAAACAACAAACCTGGTCACTCTAAAGAGCCTGAACATATGCCATGACCATTTATACAGCTAGGTAGACAGGTGTGAAGAGGAAAATGTTGTCAAGAATACAACAACCTACAGGTTATTAAAATTAATATTAAACCTGTCATTCAGTTATCAAACACTCATTTCGAGACTCTAGCCTTTTCTTGTGTAAAATGATTGTGTCACACAATATATATGTTTCATTGTCATGTATTTTAATACACATTGTTAAGATTTAAGAAGCTCATTTTTTGTATTTTTGTCTATGAAATATATTTGAATCTATCAGCAAATCTGTTCTAAATTGGTGCCAGATCACAGGTTCTAGCCTGGTCTGCCAATACACCTATATCATAATCGATTATAACAGGTGTATTGACAGACGAGGCTAGTACCTGTGTTGTATTTTTCACCCATCATGATGAGAGCGAATTTATTATTACAGCGAATACATGTAAATAACATAATATACATTGTAATACATGTAAATAACATAATACACATTGTTATTAAATGGGAAGGGTGAAGTTAACACTGGGTGAAAAATATTTTTCATGGGCGAAGACGAAAAGTTTGAAATGGCAAATATTTCGCAGTATACAGTAATGTAACACACATTTGTGTTACACGTTACATTACAGAGTGTAAGATGTTAATGTAGCCAAAGTAATTAGCTACTAAAATTAACAATGGAATTTTAGGGATTTTTTTTAAAGGGAGTAGGTTTTAACAGTCTATATCTTAAATGTCTGGGCGCACGAGAGAGAACCTGTATCAAACCTGACTCACGTCGGTGTATATTGATTCCACACCTGTCTCAGCGTATATTAAATATTGATTCCAGTAAAAAAACACATGTATGCACTTGTGCATGTAATATAACTGCCGGTGAGCTAATTATAAATACAAAATCTACTTAATAACCTCATTATTTACATTTATCACATGCGTCACAGGCCAAATGAAACAAATGTCTGTTTCTGCGTGAAGATGTCAGTGGCTGGCCTTCTGTCAGATGTCGGTGCCTTAGTATAGTGATCTAGGCTCATGTTTCACCATAAATAATGATTTTTATTTCATTTGGTCTCAAATTTATGTCTGTACCAGAACTAAGTGCCCCACAGGTTGTATGGTAGGCTACTTGAGATGCAGCATATGCACAGCAGATGTCAGTAGCCAGCTGTTAGTGGAAGTCGATTTACGATATCTCTAAAATGTTGAATAGTGTTACGACTCGCAGTAAAATTAAATACAAGTGGAGTAGGAGACAGGAAACATTTAACTAATTATTTTCAGAAAATTGTCTGAAATTTTGAATCAAGCACTTTAAAAAGAAATTGCTTTGAAGGATCTTGGACATTATTCAATTTAGACACGGTGCCTATTATCACAAAAAAAATCAGTTCTAGGCTATCGTTTTCAATATAAGGTAATTTAAAATATGGTATACTCCATGTGATCACATTTTAAAATCTTAAATGTTTCTTCATTTGAAAACTCCTTTCAGCGATAATTCAGCTGAAGTGAGCGATTGAATAACATGATAGGATTTTTAAATATTAAATCACCACACAATTCATTCAATCAGGAGTGTGGCACGGTAGTCTATAGTGTACATGTTAGGACGCCAGGCTTGTGACCGAAATGTTGCAGGTTCGAGTCACGGCACAGCACTGTGTTGTATCTTTGAACAAGATACTCTACTCCACTTGTTCCAGTCTACTCAACTGTTAATGAGTATGTGGTTGGGTAGTGCTAGAATTGTTGAATGCTAGCTGTGAGTGCCGAAATGGCAGCACTGGCTGTATGCTCCCCAGGGAGTTGGGAAAGATGTTGGCAGGCTGCAAAGGCCCTATAACCACAGATAATAATTTGTGAACCGCTTTGAGACGACCTACGAACTCGGTTGTGATAAAGCGGTATATAAGAACCTCAAATTATTATTATTTAATTTTATTAATTATTATCAGAGTGAAACTGCTTTACATTTCATTTGAATATGGAAGGCCCAAAGAGCATACTAATACTCGTATTCAACCTACTTTTGAAACCTCCTTTCAGTGTTCATTCATCCGATGTAAGAAATTGAAAAACAAGATGTAATGGGTTCTAGATTTAGAAATCCTAGCCCAGTTCATCCCTCAGAAAGTAATGATGCTTAACATGTCATCAGTTTCACTTTGTAACGCTACTTTCCACTTAGCAGTTCACAATGCCTTATACATGTAGCTATATGCTTTCTGGTTTTGGTGTAGATTTATGTATCAATATCATAGAAAACAGAGCTATTGGTAGAGTATTGACATGGTTCATGATATAACACTTGCCAACTTTTTGAAATGTCTATGGGGGAGATTGCGAGTGCTTTAAATTTAAAGCTTAAATATGATTGATGTATACATGTACAACCTAGAAAAAAAATAACACTTTTAAATGGCATCTTTTGAGCTGTCCTTTCAAATGAAATCATCAGATCTTAGAAAAAAGGAATAGCCTAGGAAACACACTGGTTGTAAATGCACAATTTTAGGGTCCAACATTGGGAGTCTCCCTCCTAAATAGGGAGGGTTGGCCAGTATGCATAATATTCACACTTTATATAATTTACATTTTACCAGTACTTCTGCTAGATTTTTAAATTTATACATATTACAGGATTTTATGTGTATACCTCCCCTTTTGTTTCAACAGTGGTTTAATGTGAACAGGCCAATTTGGATTTCCAATGTTTTGGCCCCTAAGCATCTTTGCCGAGTCCTAGAAGACCAAAACACAGATGAGTCCATGCAGTCCTAGAAGGACTACACAAATGAGTCCAGTCCTAGAAGGACCACACAGATGAGTCCAGTCCTAGAAGGACCACACAGCTGTATGATACAGCATCATTCATTTTTAGCATACAGTATCTACATTGTATTATGAAATCGTTAAAAGTGAAATCATCTGTAATGAACGCATGTTTCGTTCATCTTTCAGAATTTATTAGATTGAAATCAAATGTACACATTGCTTTGGTCAAGAAATTAAGAATTGGTGCTGTAATTAAATTTCACCTTTTTCGGGTTAGGATGGCAGTTGAGGGGTAGGTGTGCAATCATTTCCTGGTAGGCAAATTCGTCTCGCTCCGTACACTGTACTATACCGTCTAGAACCAGCACGTTCCCGAAAGATTTACTGAAAAGTATACACAATCCATTAAAGTAGGTATGATAGCAGTGTGTTTTTGCAATTCTTTCAATAGGGGGGTCGAACTCTGAGAATGTCTGGGTTACACGCTCACTTTCGCTCGCTGCACCCCTCGAATATATCATAGCAAAACCTTGTGGACAGGACGAGAACGCTAGTTTGATCCTTTGATCTACATCAAAAGAATCTTGCGGTCGCGTAACGGTAAACCTTACTGGCATTGAAGTCGGGTGTTGCTCCTCTGTAATCTTCAAAGGACAATTGTCAACCTAGTGATGGGTCAGGTTTTTTTACCTTCAATTTTGCTACGACATATTCCAGACATGTAGAGAGCGAAAGTGAGCGTCGTATATATACGTAACCCCTTGGTATCAAGGATGTCTGATAACTTACCGAATGAGAAATTCTCTCCAGTTCAGTTGGTAGGAAGTGGCTAGTATTTTATCAGGGTGACATTAACTCATTTACCCCTGAAGACACATTTGAACTCTTCCAATTCAAAGGTTGGAATAGTTCATTATGAAATTTTGGGGATGAATGAGTTATTTCCCCCTAAAGGAATAATAAAATCTTTCACCCCCAAGGGGATGAGATAGGGGAATCTCAACCCGAGGGGGAAGATTCTTACTTAAGTTGCCAAGTGTTTGGCAACTAAAGAATCTTTCCCCGAAGGTTGAGATTCTCCTATCCCACCCACAAGGGGGGTGAGTGATTCTTTTTCTCTAGTCTTACCCTGTTCTCCCATTGTGTATCATATCATATACAATGTAATGATAACGTTACATGCTAAATTCAGGGTTGACGGGTCGTTGATGGATTGTTGATGTGACGTCATTGTATTGTTGAAGTGGCGTCATACCATTGTTATGAATAGGGGAATACCCCCCGTCTCAATGCAACCCTAGGGCGAGACAAGGAAATGTCCCAACAGTTAAAGTGTGAATTCACCTGTCCAGGGAAGAGAACAAACTTGTCCTGAGTTTTCCTAAGATAGCATTAATACTTAAGAAAACATGGCCAAGTACTTTTGTCAATATTTCCCAAAGTAACAGAGCGGTTACTATTGTATTTTCAATGTGTCTCTTTGGGATCAAACCAGGAACCTGGCATACCACTGCAGTTTGATGCTATACAGGAGGGAAATTGTCTGAAGTGGAGTTGGGCAGAAGCAGTTCGTGTTTTATCAGGGTGACATAATTATGTCCCTGATAATTGAATTACACACTAGCTGTTAGTATTAAGGGTTGTCAATATATGTATTTGAATTCTAGTACAAGTATCGTAAATAAAGTTAAGCAGGAATATTGTAAGTACTGCATCACTAAAACTGTACAAAACAAAAAAAGGCCTTTAAGATACGAATGTCCCCACTTCAATGCATATATTGTATATAAGAGTCATTTTGACCTTGGCTTTGACTTTCGATCCCTGTAACATGAATGAACTTAATGCAATCTCATACTTGACCTTTGTTTATAGTTTTCAAGATCAAAATGCATTAGAAATTAAATGATCTTCCTACAATACAGTGTCACCGATAATTAGTTGAAAAATCTCTATAAACAGTAGGTGACCTTGGTATTGACCTTTGAACCTTAAAATATGAACTCTTTCAAGGTATATTTTCATACTTGACGATTGCATTAGAAAGTTTTTATAAATCTGTTCTGAATGGTCACTTTGACAAACAGGATGGCAGAGGCATAAAAAAGTGGCTGTTATTTTTTTTTTTAAACCTTATTTTATGTTTATGTATCGACCTGTTCATTCTTTGATTTGGTCTGTTTGTGCTTTACATCCTAATAAAAGCTATGGTCACTTAATTATAAGTTTGTGCCAGGTTTTGGTGGTGGAGGAAACCAGAGTGCCTGGAGAAAACCACCGACCTGCGGTCATGGAGTACCTGCAGCTGGTGATCCATGACTGCCCTACGTAGGCCTCAAACCTGCAACCCAGTGGTGGAGGGCTAGTGATTGTAGATAGTGATCAGAGGACTGTGCCACTCGGCCACTGTCATCCCCTCTGTTTTTAGTTTTACAGATTTGTACCATATTCAGATGTTATTCAAATTCACTATCTCAGTACAATGAACATTTGTATTGATTAAATGAATTATTATGATGACATATATATAAGTTAGCGATATATCAAATGCTAATAATATACCACATGGTACTGTATGTCGGGAAACACATCAGTTTCTTTGGCCTACAAGTCAGCATATCCTTGTTCTATATATATATTTCCTATATAGCTATTAATTAGTTACCATGTATGGAAAATAAGCTTCCAACAGCCCTAATTTTTATTCACAAACATTTTTTTTTAACTTGACTGGCGCTGGATTGATGACACTTAACTGTACATATTCAATTTGGGCCCAATATAGTGGCGTGATGTGTCGCGCTTACTATCTTGATATAGAGTGCTCTCTCTCTCTATATATATGTGTCAGGATTGAATTTACCAAATTTAGTCTAATGTTGTATAATAATATGTCCGGTATAGAGGAAGTAGTGTGACGTATATCTATAGTATATATATTATCTGATTGGCTATTGGGTTGGCGCGCGATACCTTTGTATGACTAGGTAGACGAGAGAGCGACGACGACAACTGACAAGAATATAAGTGAGGTATAAACTCGATTTCTCGATTTACAAACTAACCTGTCAATCTTTTCTATTTGGTACTATACAGTATTTTATATTATTTTAAATAAAACATGTATGTGTGCGTACGCTGGGTTTACCTGAGTGACCGCCATTACACCGGCCGGTACGATTGTGTTTATATTCCATATCTTATTATTTGTATCGTTTATGTTTCCAGACTTGAATATGTGTACAGACTAATACATGAGCTGGACATATTGTCAACCCTTCTGCCACACAGAGGTGATTATTTCATTATAAGTCATAAGAATCCCAATATGTATATATCCTTTTGAATGTCCCGTCATAGTGTACGTCCGTAAAAAGTTTTCACCATTTATGAGTAACGTCAACAGTAAATGCCAAAAAGCCATACACTTATAATATAATATATGTGTAAAGGTAAATTGTAATCCATATTGTAACTAATAGATAAAGAAATAGTATATGCCCTATTTCCAATTCTTTATTTGTCATATAATCCCCGGTTAAACGTACGTATTTTACAGCTAAGTGTTAATTGTCAGATTGTACTCGTTTCTGTAATATATGTATCGATAGCGTTATGTGTATGCGTAGTAAAGTATTGTATGTTTGTATCGTTGCAGGGTAAGATTTACTTACAATAAAACCACTGGTTCGTTATCAAAACGTCGAGCTTGGAGTGTTTATTTACCCCCAAATACCCCTCGGTTTCATACATATATATTTATACACCTCACCTTTTAACGTCACACCCGGGTAGTCAATAAAAAATATCAAAACCTAGGATTTTCATCCATGCATGACATTGCAACAACTGCTATAAAATATAATATATATATCCTTAGTCTATCTGTTTATATAAATTCTACAACATTCAGCGGACCAACATTCAGCTGACCTACATTCAGCTGACCTAACTTTAAAAGGCAATTTGGATGACCATGTATTTAAAAAAACAAAATCTGGACTTTTGAGCATTTTGATAAATGCTAGTTGTTGAAATCTGGTGGTAAGGTTTGTTTGGGACGTGCCCTATAAAGAGTATATTTTAAAACAGCTAGCTAATAGAAACTGGTGTAAAATTATTTTCATATTTTTTTAATTTAGTAATTCACACAATTGAATATTTCTCTGTGACATAATTTTCTTGATTTCTTGCTAAAAACATTGTTTTCCCCTTAAATAAGAATGGGAATGTTTCACTCATTTAATTCAATTTAATACTAGAACTACACCAACCCCAATAACTGAATAATGTTTTTCTTTAATTATTATACTTTTATGAAGAAAAACACTCCAGTTTGAGTCACATAACACACTGCAGTATTCACTGTATAGCATGGCTCATTTATAGCTGGTAATGGCTGTATCCAAAGGTTTTATACCTGGAGGAAAAAGGTATATATAATATTAACATAACAACAAGCACAGAGAAATTTTGTCAGTCAGAACTAAATTCATTTTTGTGAGACGTACTTTCTTGCCGACGACCTCCAAGTGTTTAAGTTACTGGCATGGGATCCCGGAGAACTGACTATATGATTGGTGTTTAACCATGCGTAACTTTTAATATGAGTAAGAGCATTGACTGTGTCGTCCATATAATGTTGTTATTTAAAGTGAAAGAAAAGTTGTATAAATTTACCAGAACAACAACATCCATGAAGATCTGTACACGCTTGTTACTGATAAGATCTAAAAGAAATGAATTTATGACTTGATTTTTTTACGTTTCATCATGAAAAATACAAGTTTAAATGACATATTTACCTTTATTTGTTATTAACCTGTTGTTTGTGTTTCATACAGGGAATTTACATCACTACATATATATACAAAATGTATGTATACACTCCCATGGTATGTACACATACTCAACTCTGGGAAGATGTTCTGCTCAGACTGCTAATTATTACACTGCATAATCATCATCAGATGTTCAAAAGTTTCGTCGTTTAGACAGCAGCTGTCCAGGCAGAATATCTTCCTGGCTTAACTGAATTAATAGTCTCTCAACTGAAGCTGAGGACAATGGGATAGTCTCAAATACTTGATAGCTAGTTTTAACAGAACAGGGTATTGGACAGAGTTTATTTGCCAAAATGACAAAGGGTCAACCTCCATGTCAATACCAAGGTTTTCAAGATATTTCTCTCAGTACTTCCTTTGGTGCCAACCCAGATTGGTGTACATGTCTTTTCCTTGGGGTTACTGGCAGAAAACTGAAGAAAGTAATCCATCTTGCCTTGAAATACCCTGTTGTGTGTTTGGGAATTTAAAAATGGCTCAAATGTGGTTGTTCAAGTTTTCAAGTGAAGGTGAAATTCAGTGTTAGTAAGTGTAGTTGTTCACTATATAAGTTCTCCCTTACAAAGATAGAATGTTCTGAATTGTCTACCCTCACTGTGTGGCATTCTTTTGTTATTAAAATCACAAGTTATCTGGTCTCTGGGAAGGAGGGTAATAGCTAAGCTAGCTTATAGTAGGGAATAGGGGATTAGGATCAATACTGGTATAACCTCTTGTTACCTGGGTCCTTACATAATGAAGATTTACTATGGAAACTTTCTATTTGATTAAATTGTATATATTAGGGTGCATGAAACATCAACACTCAACATTAAAGTAATTAAAAGTAATTGGACATTACATACATTTTTCAATGTAATTCATTAAATTACCATTACATGTAATTGAAAAAATCCTCAATTACACATTACATGCAATTACTAATTAACAAAATGTTATAATTGCAGTTAATTACCATTACACATTACCATTACCCCATGCCTGGTATCATGCAAAGATATATTAATATATATCGATTCAGAGCATATTAAATTGGAATTAAGGAACACCAAATATGGATTATACGGTTTCCTTCATTAGTGTATGGCATTTACAATCTAGATCATATAGTCTCTGTAGTATCATGATGTAATAAAACATGCATAATTGATAAAAAAAAATATGTGATAACTATTCCAGACCTCTTTGTCCGACCTAGATTAACTATAAATCCATTGACTACGTGACCAAGAGTGGTTGTAGATGGGACCTAGCCATAGGATGGTCAAAGGTTCAATGTATAAACAAGAGCAGTGATGAATGGGTTGATTTGTTAAAAGTTATTCACGTTGCGACACGTTCAATACGTACATTATTTGTGTAGAAAGTAAACCTTTGTTATTCAAGAGCTTTGAGAAGGTCAAAGGTGATTGAAATTCTGACTGCAAATTGAGATAAAAATCATATAAAAACGGGGGTATTACTATAACCCTTATTTGTTTATATGATTTTTATCGCAATTTACAGTCAGAATTTCAAACACCTTTGATAAGATTGAATCAGGCCTATAGATAGATATGTGTCTGTATATTGTCTAGTAAATATATAATGTAGTAATGAAAGGCATTGTCAATTTTTCATTACAGTATTAAGCATAAGAAAAATATATTGTAATACACAAAAATATAATATTAGCAACAGCCTGAAGAGTGAATAACAGGGTGGTGCAGTATGGATCTACATCGATTAATTAATAATTCATGACCAAACAGAACAGGTTTAAGTCTTGAGTCAGGTATAACAATTAACAAATGAAATTCCTGCAAAAACAACACAGTGTCGTGACAAATATAAGAAAGCTTAAGTCGTACCTCCTGAATACGAAGATTTCTTGATATTTGGATTTAGCGTGGTGCAAAACTTCTTCGATCTGATAAGACTGTGAATACCCGGCCCACATGTCATTTTCCTCCCGAAACCATTTCCCGTCAATGCATGCCATCTTTACAGAGATTTAGCAACGTCACTCAGGAAAAAGACAATTACGTCTCGTAGACTTGCTTCGTGCAGTTTACCGGTAGTTCCTGTAAATCCTCGCTGTGAAACACACGCCTCCTTCCTACCCACGTTTTTAACACAATGTTGGATGATAATAAACAACGCAGTGGATAAAATCCGAAAACCTCGAAAGAAAGTACTCCGAATAGCAAATCGCATATAATAATGAAAAGGTGATAGGTTCCGGATTTTCTAGTCCGGAAAGAAGTTCTATTACTCTGATCGGGAGGCCTAGGACGAGGATGACATTCATGGAACTTAACTAAGCACCCGAGAAGCGGACAGGTACATACTTTTGCGATTGTCGTTTTGGTTTTGTTTAACACAGTTACTGCAGCTCAGTTACGTATTGATGAAGATCAATATGCCCGCTGTACTAAAAATAAAACTGAATTCTGCAAAGAGAAAGTAGAACAGTTTTTTAACAGAGATGAAACGTCTCTGGTAACAAGGGGTTTGTGGTACTAGGGATGATATATTGGTGAATATTCCAATCGAACGAGTTTGAAAGAAATAAAATTTAATGTACAGTCCTACATCTGTACATGTACAGGGTCCCAACAACAGACTTGAGAGCTGGTCTGATGTGGAGGCCCAACAGAATGGCCAGTCTACACTACCTGTCTCTAGATATGATTTTAATTCAATAGGGAGAAAAGTATTCAGAATTATTGGTATATATTTAAGACGGTGTGAAAGAAGAGGGAATAAGTGCTCCGCTAAGTCACACATATAATTAACTGCAAGGAATGAGTTTTATTTCATCACTTGCACACTACAATATAGTACAGATTCAACGAGGATCGGAAAATAAGCCATAAGCTCATACTAATTCCTCTCCTCAAAGAATAGTTAGACATTGTGTAATGTACACATTTCGACGCTGTGTATGTAACAGCTAGGAGAAAGAGAAATGCAACAGCCTGACCATGGTTTGGACCCGGCACCCTACAAACTTTAGACGGAGATCAACCCTGAGTCCGTTTATTCTGCTACATTCCTCCCTTCTTTGCCCCCCGACGACACAACTATTTACAACTCAGGTTAGGATATCCCCTTATTAAGCATTTACCCAATGCTAGAAACAAGGGTTTGCAAGCTCAACAATTTTGTGACAGGGGAAATAGAAATCAACAGTCAAACCGGGGTTCAAATCTGGGACGCTAAAACTCTAGACGGACACTCTATCGTTTGAGCTACCTTAAGTCGCCGACGATCGACCCAGTCAAGTACACCTATTTACAATTTTTATATTTCAGAATCAGCTGTAAGCAGAAGAAGATGCCATACAAAATTGTATCATTCCATGGTAAAAATGGTGGTCGCATTTCATTGGCTGACATCAATGGTCTGTACTTGCCAATCACAGGGTCCGAGGAATATTTGACAAGGCACCTTGAACGTCTGTCTGGACAGTTGCAGGCTCGGGACAATGATGTGGTCATCTGCGCCTATCCTAAGTCTGGTATTCTGATGATAACTTATCTTATACTAATTTATTCAAAGTTAGATCTGGTGTATGCATGTACTGTCTTTAATTCTTTTGTTATAAAGGATTTTTCATTATGTAGGGAGAAACTGTAATGTTTCTTACGAGTGTGAAGCACAAGTGAACAGTACAAAATAAATGTACAACCAGAAGCTCAAATCTATAAAACTTGTTATAAATGAGAAATATTCTTTTCACCTTTCTCTGAAATCTATAGGTTCCACTAGATATCAAAATCTGGCCAATCACAAGGCTGATAGACAGTGGTACCTGTGTAAAAGATGTGGATTAATTATAGGTTGCCTTGCAAGCGTCAGCTGTAGAGAATTTCCCTTTAGCTCAGTGGTAGAGCATCGGGCTGGAGAGCCAAGGGCCCTAGCGAAAGCACTATCTTTATCACTATTCCTCGTCCTACTACACCTGTACTAATCAAAAAGTTATTTTGAGATCAAAAACCAATTTTGTTTGATGAAGAAACTACCTCATTAGGATGTAAACATTTCAGCAGGAAACTGTTGTGCAGTAGAATGGTTTCAGATCTCCTTAAGTTAGATAAAGATTCTTGAAAAGTTTAATAAGTGACATTTTCAGCCATTTTCAGATGGCAGTGTTTGCTGCCATCTTGGATTGTAAAGCAAGTCTGATTCCTTTCACTCCTTAAAATTCTGAATAGGCAATCTATGCAGTCAAACATGACAAGAGGAAAATCTATGTTCTGAGAAAAGCAGAATTCAGTAGAGAGTGTTCCATTATGTTTCAGGTCTGCACTGGATCTGGGAGGTGGTAAATATGCTACAGAAACGCACCTCCAGACCTTCAGATGACATCATGGAAAATTATTCTTTTGAATTTTCCTCTGTCAAACAACTTAGCTCCGAACCATCTCCTAGAGTGTTTGTAACACATCTCACATTTGACAAGCTGCCTCAATCGTTTCGTGAGAGACGCTGTAAAATCGTGTACATCTGCCGTGATCCTCGCTCCGTGGCCGTGTCCTTCTTCCACTATGTGTGTCAGATGAAGGTCAAGGGGACGACAGATCGTACTGTATTCTCTGGGGAGTGGCCAGATTTCCTACAGCTCTTTACAGAGGGCAAAGGTCAGTGATTAGAAAAAATGTCAGTGTTTGACTTTCATAGAGGGTAAAGGTCAGCTATCATAGAGGGTAAAGGTCAGCTATCATAGAGGGTAAAGGTCAACTATCAGAGGGCAAAGGTCAGTGATTTAAAAAAATGTCAGTGTTTGACTTTCATAGAGGGTAAAGGTCAGCTATCATAGAGGGTATAGGTCAGCTATCATAGAGGGTAAAGGTCAGCTTTCATAGAGGGTAAAGGTCAAAGATTAAAGACGACAAATGTTAGTATTGTCTAGAAGGTAAAGGTTGGTTAAATAGATGGTGTTGTTGATACAGACAAAAACAGATGTTTTAAATAGGGTTGAACAGTTAGCCAGTTAACCTTGTACTCAGGTGGAATGGAAGACAACAATCTGGTTACCTCAATCAATAACCGAATATTCAACATTCATTTACTCAATGTGGAGCCCCATGTTTACCTGGTTTATACCTACAAATTATCTGGAGTGATGAAGCGTTAGTGGTTGTAGTGTTTGAATGGGAGAAGGTGGAGCGGTAGTGATGGAGTGGTTGAGTGGTAGTAGTGGAGTGGTCGTTGTGAAATGGTAGTGGTAGTAATAGTGGTTGTAGCATTGGAGTAGTAGTGGTGAAGTTGTAGTGATTGTAGTTTGGGAGTGGTTGGAGTGGTAGTGATAGAGTGGCAGTGGGAGTGGTAGTGATGGAGTGGTATTGATGGAGTGGTAGTGATGGAGTGGTATTGATGGAGTGGTAGTGGGAGTGGTGCAGTTGTGGAGTGGTAGTGATGGAGTGGTATTGATGGAGTGGTAGTGGCAGTGGTGGAGTTGTGGAGTGGTATTGATGGAGTGGTATTGATGGAGTGGTATTGATGGAGTGGTAGTGATGGAGTGGTATTGATGGAGTGGTATTGATGGAGGGGTAGTGATGGAGTGGTAGTGATGGAGTGGTAGTGATGGAGTGGTAGTGGCAGTGGTGGAGTTGTGGAGTGGTATTGATGGAGTGGTATTGATGGAGTGGTAGTGATGGAGTGGTAGTGATGGAGTGGTAGTGATGGAGTGGCAGTGGGAGTGGTGGAGTTGTGGAATGGCAGTTTTATCTAGATTTGTTTACAGAAGACAATGTAGTTGTATTGGTTTGGTTTCTGATGTTTTTTAACTCAGTAAACTATCACTGTTTTCTTGTTTCAGTGCCATTCAACAGCTGGTTACACCACACAAAAGCCTGGGACAAGGTTATCAAAGACTGGCCAAACTATCCCATACACGTTGTCAACTTTGAAGACACAAAGCAGGTATGCAATGAAAGAATGTTGCTATGGTGACAATGTTTGGCTCAAGGCAAGTATGTTACCAGCATGATGATGGTGAAAAACCAAGGCGCAGGGACAGCTTGTTATTTTTGCTATGAAGTTATTCAGATAATCTTGTAGCTGGACAATCTATGGATCAAGGTACAAAGGTGGCTGGATTATCTACTGGGAACAAAGGTGGCTGGATTATCTACTGGGAACAAATGTTGCTGGATTATCTACTGGGAACAAAGGTGGCTGGATTATCTACTGGTAACAAAAGTGGCTAGATTATCTACTGGGAACAAAGGTGGCTGTATTATCTACTGGGAACAAAGGTGGCTGGATTATCTACTGGTAACAAAAGTGGCTAGATTATCTACTGGGAACAAAGGTGGCTAGATGATTTACTAGGAACAAAGGTGACCTGTTTATCTACTTGTAACAAAGGTGGCTGGATTATCTACTGGGAACAAAGGTGGCTGGATTATCTACTGGGAACAAAGGTGGCTGAACTATCAACAGAAGACAAGGGTGCATGGATTAAGAGTAGCAGAAGAACCAATTTTGAATTTTGATTTGCTACCATTGTGGTTTGATCCAGTTTCAAAGATCGTTACGCTTTTCTTTTTTTACAAACACAGAGTTACTTTTGTGAGACCTTAATATTCATTTAAAAGTTAACTCAACAATTCTTTTCCATTCAGTTAAAAGAAACCATTTTTTCCTGTGCTAAACTCTGCTTTTCCCATTCCAGGATCCTCTGAAAGAAATTCTTAAGCTGAACACCTTCCTAGGATCTGGTATTTCTTCGGCGATGTGTACAGACATAGCTACCAACACAAAGATAAGAAGACTTCGGGCAGCTAAGGCAGCCATTAGGGACAACACCATGGGACAATACTTTCAAGATAACAAGTACCCTATGTACCGTAAAGGTCTGTCCTTTTTATTCATTTCATGCCTTAATATCAGAAGAACAATATGATATTATGAAGCAATTTCATATTTATTTTAATAATCCTATTCTGTTGGACAATAAGCAAACCATGGTCATTTTGTGTGGTATAGAAGAGGTCTACTTTCAAATTCAAGGGGTGTCATGTTTTACCTTGCCTCAATGTGTACAGTCACTATATAGATGATCAGAACCGTAGACTGACTTTAAGTACCCAACCGGCACTACCAGAAGGGAATATAGGTCTGCTTGGCCTTCTATCCATTAGTCAGTCTGCTAGGGCGTCATTTTGTCTGGGCCATATTTCATGTCTGACATCACATCTCAATTAAAGTTAATTTATGTGAAGGAAAGATTTATAATTTTAGCATAATGTGTCATAGAAATCTGATTTTTTTTCTCAGGAGTAACTGATGATTGGAAGAACTTGTTCACAGTGGCACAAAACGAGGACATCATCCAAGGAGAGATAGGAAGACTGCGGACCTCAAACATCAAACTCACCAGTCTACTGTGAATACTGTAATACAATCATCATCCAAGGAGAGATGGGAAGACTGCGGACCTCAAACATCAAACTCACCAGTCTACTGTGAATACTGTAATACAATCATCATCCAAGGAGAGATGGGAAGACTGCAGACCTCAAACATCAAACTCACCAGTCTACTGTGAATACTGTAATACAATCATCATCCAAGGAGAGATGGGAAGACTGCAGACCTCAAACATCAAACTCACCAGTCTACTGTGACAACTGTAACACAATCATCATCCAAGGAGAGATGGGAAGACTACGGACCTCAAACATCAAACTCACCAGTCTACTGTGACAACTGTAACACAATCATCATCCAAGGAGAGATGGGAAGACTACGGACCTCAAACATCAAACTCACCAGTCTACTGTGAATACTGTAATACAATCATCATCCAAGGAGAGATGGGAAGACTGCAGACCTCAAACATCAAACTCACCAGTCTACTGTGAAAACTGTAACACAATCATCATCCAAGGAGAGATGGGAAGACTACGGACCTCAAACATCAAACTCACCAGTCTACTGTGAAAACTGGAACACAATTACTTCATAATGTCATATCAGCCTGGGTAGATCATGAGCTCCAGAGCATTTGACAATCTTTTGAACCAATATGTGCTGGCAGGCATGGGCTAAACTCCAAGTCTCAGAAGCAACATTTATTGGATCTGTAAACAGGGTTTTAAAATACAGTCGAATCTGCTCAAGTCACCATCTGTATTAAAAGACCATCTGTTTTATGCGACCACTTTTCATTCCTCCCGACTGTTTTTACTATGTAATTTAACTGTATTAAGCAACCATCTGTCTAACGCGACCAGCGACCACCGAAAATGACCCCAAAAATACGTTAAAGGACCAAATTTGCGACCGTCACCACATTTGACGAAGGGCTAATTATATATTTTGGTGCAACATGCAGTTAGAGATTAACCTTGAATTGCCTTGATCCTGTCTGCTGGGTAGTGAACTCAATGCTGTTCACCGTCAGTCTTCACCGTCAGTCTTGACCGTCACACCGTCAGTCTTCACCGTCAGTCTTCACCGTCACACCGTAAGTCTTCACCGTCACACCGTCAGTCTTCACCGTCCTTTCTAAACAGTCTCTCACTGTGCATGAAGTTAAATGCATCAGTTGTTTGTTGTATAGTTGTATGTGAAATATGATAAAAAATAAAGAGATTTTCAGATGAAGGATTTTTCTATTTTTGACACATGCGTTAGGTATTCCCCCCAAAACATCAAATTTACTGGTCTACTGTGACGTGTAATGGGGAGTCTAAGAATCTCAACATCAAAGTTGCTCACCAGTCTGGTGTAATGTAGCGGGACCTGACTGAGCCCATCACAAGCAACCAAGTAACTCCATTGGTTTGAGCATCCATCGAGAGTTTGGAGATCCTTGGTTAAATTCCTAGTGTGGCCGTGCATTTTTTCTCTCATGTTGCAGTGGTTCCTGCGATCAACCCCTGTTTAAAGGACTGGCAAGGGGATATCCAAACTTGGGTTGTAAAGTAATGTCATCTTTGGGGATGACGACTTAAAAAAACAACATGAAGTTTGATTGGTAGAGCATTTGTCTACAGTTTAAATGTCTTGGGCTCAAATTCCTGTCTCCATTGTGGATCATTTTTATACGCCCGTCAAATTTGACGTAAGTATTATGGTATGGGGTTGTCCGTACGTCCGTCTGGGGTAAACTTTTGTTTGTCCGGCAATCTCCTCCTACATTTTTTGACCGATCTCTTCAAAACTTAGTATACATTATAATCATGATATGAAGTTGTCTCCCTTAAAAGAATTTTGATTCAACAATTCGTCCAAAAAATATTGCCCTTTGTTCATTTCAGAATTTGATTTTTTATCCGGATATTTTCTCCTACATTTTTTATAGCATGTCAGCTAACCACTCTTAGAATGATGCAGATCTGATTTCAATGTAAGAAGGTATATAACACTATATGGCATTCGACGGCCGTATATTGTTCCGCCCCGCGGTACTCTGTTCCTCTCCTGCTACAGTAGAGCTTGTGACCAACCCTTGTTTTGGCAAATGGATACTGAAACATGGGTTAAAAATAGTGTCATCTTTTGGGGCAAAGAGCCGAACTAGACTGGGTGAATCGCGGCATGCAACCACATAGTTCAATTGCTCAGGGTGTTCATCTAGATTTGTCGACTTTTAGAGCTCAAGGTTTTTTTTGAGTTTGGAATCCCTGTCTGGCCACACATTTTTCCTCTCCTGTTAAAATCACCTATACTATCCTCATCAGACCAGCTTCTCCTACATCTAACTATGATGCTTAATGGCTGATAGTTAAGGGTGAGAGGATTGTTAGTCATACTTAGTCAGAGCGTTGTAATTATTCCAGAGGTCAGCAGATTTAATTTTAATGGCGGAGGTGATGTTGTATAAAAGGAAAATTATAATGAATTTGATATTTTTACTTCCTACATGTACTTGTGAACAGGCAAACAACTTAAGGTCAGAATAAATGCTGAACAAAATTGAAACTTGCCTTCGTTAGAGTTACAAGACAAACAGACTAGGACCCTCTGCCTTAAAACATATCTATAGTTAACTGTAGAGCAAGGGATGTGTCATAAGTTGTTGAAACTTATCAGATCCTTCTCCAATGGCTTCACAAAGTACCTTATAACTTTACAAATATATAAGGGTATTTTTAGAAGCATTTATTGACCATCTACCAAGGAAAAACAAAGTTGAACTCCCACAAGAGGGAGCGACACCCAGTTTGTATTTATGTATCAACAACTGCTTTGTTTGCCCAAATAACACGATTAATATCAGTTTCTATTACAGGACAAGGCCTGAACAGATGTCTCTTCAGTAAAAAGACGTTACATTGTACATATGTATAAAAAAAACATCGGCAATATCGTTGATGTAAATAAAACATTGTCGTACACCTGATCACAGGGACCTGAGCATTTGGTACAGCTTTATTTGGACCTAAACTAAGGTGTTCAGAGTAATTTTACACGTTAAAAATGCCACCCCCAAAGACAATACAGTACATTATACGTAAACTGAATATCATAACTTAGGAAAATTACTCTGAACACCTTAGTTTAGGTCCAAATGTAGCTGTAAAAAAATCTCAGGTCCGTGTGCACCTGATAACGCTGGGGCATGAAACTGGGGCTGCTATTAAAATTGATTGGTTTTTTGTGACGTAACAAATCTTCAACGCAACTTTAAAGTTTTCTAGCTCTTACATAGCACTCAAATTTCTTAAATAACCCAAACCCGATTGAATACTTTCTGTTCGAAGTTACTGATCTGCCTCTTTTGTTTGTTGACTTTCCAGCAAGCTGTAGGCATTCCTGTGGGAAAAACCGTGTATCTCATTCGGTCAGCTTCTTTTTTAATATTTTCATATACAAGGCTGAATTCATTGAAGAGTCATTAACTTCTGAATAAAATAAGATTTGCAATTATTTGCCGGGTTCGAATCCCGGTCTGGTCGTGCATTTCTCTCTCTGCTGTTACACAATAGTCAATTGCTAGACAATACGGAAGATAATGCTGTTTAAAACAAATAAATAAACGAAATCAACAAATCATTTGATTCATTTATCTTGAATTATATCTTGTTACACAAACCACGGTCTTAGATAGCACCAGTACAAGGGAGATAACACCTTTCACTGAGAAACGCAATCTCTACCAAGAGTTGTCGTTAATGTTCAGTGATCATTTTGTGTGGTATAGAAGAGGTCTACTTACAAATTCAAGGGTTGTCATGTTTTACCTTGCCTCAATGTGTACAGTCATTATATAGATGATGAACCGTACACTGACTTTTCAAAGAGGCATAGACAGCATGAAAGGTGACAATACATGTAAATTAATTAAAGTTTGATACATGAGCCCAAAGTGCTACAAATCTGAAACTGGTGGACCCTATCCTAGCATGTTACTGGCCAAGTATCATTATCCTAGGCCTCTTAGTAATTCAGAAGAAGTTTTTTAAAGAATTTTTAAGACAACTGACCCCTGTGACATTGAAAGTGGGTCAAAGTCATTCATTTGAACAAACTTTGTAGCCCTTTATCCCAGCTGCTTGCTACACGCCCAATATAAGTACCTGGGGAATTTTGGTTATTGAGAAGAAGTCGTTTGAAGATTTTAACACATTTAACCCAAGTATAGACAGTACAGACTCCCCTACACACCCACACACCACCACACTCAAACTGTCATCCCTTTACTGTCATCTCACAGTACAGACTCCCCTACACACCCACACACCACCTCACCCACACTGTCACCCCTTTACTGTCATCTCACAGTGGAGGTTGATTTGTTTTCCCTCACCTTTCTCTGTTGTACATACAAGTGGGTCAAGGTCATTCATTTGAACAAACTTGATAGCCCTTCATCCCAGCAGGATACAGGCCCAACATAGCTGTTTGGCTTGCCTGGACCGTATGACTTAGGAATATAAGGATTAATAGCTTCGGAGTATCTGTTTGAAATCGTAGCTTCGCCACCTTGAACGCCATCTTCAAAAACAAATACATGTCGGGATCTTCAACGCTACACACCAAGTAAACTGGGACCTAAATATTGATAATGCATGATTTAATCCCTGATCGTTCTTAATATTCTCAAACACGTCAGCTATAACCAAAATTTTACTTTTCAAATACCGGTACAAATCATGTCCAAAATGTCCAAGATTCATCGCATTCAAACATGTTTGGCATAACGGTAATCCAAATGGGAAATGTTGGATTTTGGGATTTTGTTAAATGACTATAAGATGTGAGTTTTGGAGGTTGATTTGTTTCCCTCACCTTTCTCTGTTGTACTTGCAAAAATATTTCGGAGAGAAGACTCCTTTTCTGAACAACAATGAAACGTATTTCTCCATGTTCTTAAGAATGAATCGAATATTGTCACCTTGAAATGAGCAAGTACAGTTTCACATTAAAAATATGAAGTTTATGTTGTAAAATAAATGACTGGAATCAATATAGGATGTTTGAAATTGAAGAATAATGTCTCGACAGACAGAACTTCCGGTTTATACACCATTTTTAACGACAATGTATTTTGACAGATGTGACGGTTTCTATTGTTTTGAAAATCTTGTTTGGTTTTACAGACATATGTTAACAGAAGTGATATCTAGTAAAATATCTTTTGCCAGATTCTCCTCGATCATCGATTGTGTGTTTCCGGAAACGTTTTGCTATCGTGTGAACCTCTATAATTGACCGGTAGTATCGCATATTTCCTTTATGATGCTGAACACTTGAAAAGACAGCCGAACCCAAATGGCTAAAAATCATTGTTATCTGAAGAGTGACTGAGGATAGGGTATCAAGACATATATCTATTTTGTGAGATAACTTTACAATAATCGGCATAAACAACAAAAGGGACTTCCATTAACAATTGTTAAGAAAGATCAGTATAATCCAAAACCGGCGAGCTTTTGGCCCTCTTCAGATACCTCTGCGTGTAACATGTCCTGTTTAGAACAGTTTAAAACATGAGTGTCTGTTAAATCCTTGATCCTAATTAGACCCCCCACGCGCAAACATCCGGGCCAACAAGAGTGATTAATATAAGTTGAAATAACTTGTTTCATAATTGTTGTAAAATAAATAAAAAATATTATAAATCCATGAAGACAAAAACGGGGAAGTGTGTTGTTCCGTTTTGAGATCCTGTTCCAGTGTTGTCCTGTTTCGAGATTTTGTTATAACAAAAAAATATCGACATTATTATTTATATGAGAGTTCGATTTTTATCTTCTTTTAAAAACAACTCACCCATATTTACTCGATGTTAAAGTCGTCGTTATATATGGATCAAAGAAGTAATAGCATCCATGCCCAACGCACCAAGTTCAGTTTTCAACCCGGTAACAACAATAAGTTCGTTAGCAGGGAGTACCGCATTGTGGCAGCTACCATTATATAGAATAGATGTCGGCAACGTCGTATAATACAAACTGTATTTCCAATAAATCTAAATGTTAATTGACATTTAATTTTGTTGAAAAATAAAGCAAACATATTGTGGAAATTGGTCAAACAATTTACTACTATATTTTGCAAACTTGCTGCCAACATGAGCTGATTTTAATTTCCTGAGTTCCCGAAACCATTTCCATGGTGGTGTCCGTGTGATGTTGGAGTTTCACATCGGCAATTTCCGTCAACACAATGGCGCTGAGACTCAATCGGACAGGAAGTGACGAAGGTGGGTATGCCATTGCAGTCATTCTTTCCGGTACATCCTGTCAACAAAATCCACAGATATACAAGGGGGACGATATCAGTATAACCTTTTATGCTCCTCTTGAAGGAGAAATGTAATATATTTCGAAAATAAATGCCATAGAAATGTACATTATGCATTACAGAAGTTAACGAAAAACGTCCACATGACGAAAATAAGAGATATGGGCCTAAACTAATGTGTTCAGAGTAATATATATCATCATTTGAGTTGGCATTTTTACCAACAGTTGATCCAAATCCCTAAAATGTGTAAAATTACTCTGAACATCTTAGTAATTATTGATATGTAATGTTTTTATTCTGAAAAAGAAGCTACCAACGTCGTAATGCAATCACGGCAATATTTATAGAAAATATATGTGACGACATCTTGAAATGTAATCTACATGGGAGGCAACTCTGTTGTGGTAACACTGATTCTTACCGCCGTGAATTTGCGTGTGCATGCACGTGCACACATGCACGCCCATAATGTCCACACATTCCACCGAATAATCAGTACTACAGCTGGTTTTTTCGCATCTCGATTTGTCAACGCAGGTCTCACTGACAACAACAGCCACTGCAATATACAACGATATACCGGTGGCCCATCACACACATTTTATTCATTTATTCATTTGGAGTGAAGTTTAGTGATGGGTTTTAAAGTGTATTATATAATACAAAATGAACATACGTAAGTTCGTTTATAACGATGGTATAAATAAAGCGGGAAAGATTGTGCTGGCAAAAAACAACAACACCAAAACACAGAAATTCGCTTCGGTCTGAGGTTATTAATTCCCCAACATTTTCGAATCCTAAGCTTTATGCATACCAATTGAAAATAGAAGTGTATGCTATTTATGTCCATGTCTACATCAATGGCTTCGTAACCTAGCCGACGTCACAGTTCAGTTTCTGCCTGATGTGACAATTTCGCGATGCTGCAGCCAGTGGCCCTGTTCCCCCAGTAACGTCGATGTATGTGGAAATGATTAGATACACATGCACGCGTGTTCCCTCATTCAACACAGTTTTTTGAGCATTATAATGGACCTCTCCCACTAGGACCCCGTTTCCCTGGCCGGTTTGTCCTACACCAACTCCTTAAATGCGACTCCGGGTATCGACATGGCGCTGTAAGTACAGCGTTTTTATATGTGCGATATGTCTGATTTTCTTTTTAAATATTGCCCTTATAAGCCACCGTTCACGTGACATTCTCGGTATTTATGTAATATATATATACGATCCAGCAAGCTGTGTCTGAATCTACTTTAGGCTATCGTTATATGTAATACGCCGTGGTCATGTCAGAAATAATATTCTGATATCTTTTCAGACGTATTTATCCGATGCCACGTCAGTCCTGATACTGTGATGCCATGACATTATACAGGTAGCATATATACTTGTACCAGTTTCCTGTAGGTAGGGAGTAAGAATTGTACCTGCTGTCCCCAATTGCATGATCGTAAGAGGCGACTAAATTTGGGACCTTATCTCTTCTTTCCTTTCTTAATAACTTTCTTCTTCCTAATGTCTCCCTTGACAATGCCTCACTTTTGGCCATGTGTTGAGCGTTCGCCCCTGTGAGGAAGGCTTTGGGTTTTGACCCCTGGCCGAGACATACCAAAGTCTTTAAAAATGGTAGTTTCTACTCCTGCTTAACGCTCAGCAAATTAGGAGTGGGACGACTGGTTCGCCCGTTGTCAGTATAATGTGACCGGGTGGGGCGTCCTGCTGAGTGTCTCCGGCAGTATGTTTCAGTGAGGTAGCACTATAAAGTCGGCATCAGTTCCGCGCTATCACAAGGAGACAAACACGAACATATCACAGCCTCCCAAAAATACACACACATACACTACACGCATACAACTTGCACACAGGGGAGGCCGTCCTTAAATGACCTGAGCTGTTAATAGGACGTTAAACAAAATCAAACAAACAAACAAACGGTATGCTGTCACGCTATAAAGTCGCTAATCAAGCTCATTCGATAGAGCGTCAGACCACTTGGTTTGGTTTAGTTTGACTTTGTTTAACGTCCTATTAACAGCTAATGTCATTTAAGGTCGTGCCTCCATATGTGCGTAGTGCGTGCGTGCGTACGTGCGTGCTTATGTGTGTGTATGCAGGAGACAGGATATGTTGATGTGCTTGCCTCCTTGCGATAGCGCGGATCTGATGCCGACTTTATAGTGCTACCTCACTGAAATGCCATGCCAAAGGCATCAAACACAGAATCCCGCCCGGTCACATTATACTGACAACGGGTCAGACCACTTACCATGATGTGCTGATTCATTAATGTAGGCATTGCATTGAAAATATGGCCTGTGTTGTCATATGATGTCATGTCAGCGACGTCATGTCCAATGTTTCATTCCTCTGATGTCATATTACATGAAATACATCCGATCCCCTTTTTATGCTTGTGACGTCATGTCAGAATTGTTCTAAACATGACTGTCGTTATCACAAACTTGAACAAATGTATTTGTGTCAGTTTCGATTGATAAGTGACGTGATAGGGACAGGTGCTTCATTTCGTAGTAGATATTTAGGTTCACGTGACCATGTGACCACTACCGATAGGTACATACAACGCAGGGAGTGATCTACCATGACTTATTCATTTTTATATAAGGTTGACACAATGCAGCTGAACTCTTATAGATTATTTTTGAAGCAAATAAGATAAGAGCTGTAATTCTTTAACTCGTACTCCACTTTTGTCTTGCTGTTTCACATCCTTATTATGTATTGTATATATGTAATATGTAATATGTACTCATGGGCCGTATTGCCTACAGTCAATAAATTGAAATTGATTGAATTGATTAGATAAGTTATTCTGCAATATTTTAACAGTTGAAAAAGATAAGAAAAATAACATGTTCAAACCAACTAAGAGACTTTTCAGTCGATAAAATGAGACAAGATGACTGAATCAGAGCCGTAATTGTTTATCAAACAAATATTCATTACTAAAACAAAATAATGTCTTAATGACTGTATTCTATAAGGAACAGAATGTAATACCTGTATCGGTTACCGAAATCGTGATGATTGCATAACCGTAGGGCAATGGTCAGTGTAACGGCTAGAATGACCACTGGACATTGTACATGTGTGCACTGTAGATCACTTAATTTTCGCAAAAGATACATTTTCGAGTTAATATGGGGTGAGAATCATATTAATTAATATCATTATTGAATTATCGAAATATTCCAATAGCGTATTCAAACTATTCGAAAATAATCATTAGAAAGAAGTACTTATTTAAAGAAATTGGTAAATCTTCGGAGACAGCCAAAGCAAGTAACATTTACTACCCCATATGGCCATTCCGTTCCGCTGGGACTCATTGCCGATACTAAAGGGCATTTATTTTTTATTATTTTGAAAATATAACCTACATACATGGGTCGCGAAATAAAGTACACGCAAAAATAATATGATCTACGGTAATTGAAAAAGATAGACAATCGATTGACTTATTTTGAACTAAGCGTGTTTTGGGTTCATGATATTATTGAGTGTTTCTATTCAAGGCAAGTTCTGAGGCCATTGCACATTCACTAATGTTGCAAAATTAAAAATTAAAAGGAAATATATTCTCAAACCATGAACGGAATTTAAGTTAACAGTTACGAACCTAGGGCGGCGAGAAAGGCAAGTGTAATCTTCATGGCAGTAAGGTGGTCGGCACTAGTGACTTCTCGTTAGCTCGTTACCAGTTTTATCTCAAACATTTGTCCCGACTTTAGGGGTCAGACGTGGCCTAAAATGGTCACGAATTCACCAGATAAGGAAGGTGCGTTGCTTTTGGTTATTATTAGAACAGCATTCACATTGACCTGTTAGAAACGTGAACATGGCATATCCATAGTACAATCTCTCAGCTTTTAAGGACAATGTCAGCTAAGGTCACTAAGGATACATGTACGTGACCTAAAATATCATTTACACGTACACTTATGACATACAACGATGTATTATAAAACGTCATTTCTAGGTGAGGATATAGATAAGGAATGCTTCAATGTTTTTTTCCGCGCACGTCTATATAAAACTGCACACGATATAAGCAATAAACATTACATTAACTGCAATCAATTGAGCTGATTGAAGTGCGTCACACCTCGTGATAAAGCCAGACTACTGATTAGTTTTAACTCCCTATCCATATATTACTCGTCGTATGTTGGGAAAAGTTTATGACCTGTTATTTGCCAGAAATAACGAAGTGCTTTTGCAGCATGCCTACGTCATTGTGTCGTCTAGTTTTAGTGACGTCCACATGTACTGTCAGCGATCGAGACTATTTGGTGTTCTGTAGGACCTATGTAGGAAATCAAAATAAACGGTGATAATTAGGGGTCTCCCTTTCGACAGCCTTGTCATAAATTAATGAGCGCGATAATTTAATCTTTCGCATCGGATTCATGAAAGAGCTATATTTTAGCTAAAAGTTTTTGATCCACTGAGATAGGGTCAACAAAATTGAAAATAAATCTAAAACTTTGATTTATTAATGACAGTGATTTCGGATCAAAAGCCGTTTAAAGTCAGTTAAAAGTAAGATGACTTGTAAAAGGTCGACCTTCATTTTGACGGCGTTAAATGAACGCAGTTGGCAACCAAGTTGGCAACGAACATATGCNGTAAAAGGTCGACCTTCATTTTGACGGCGTTAAATGAACGCAGTTGTCAACCAAGCTGGCAACGAACATATTCGTTGCCAACTGCGTTCATACTACCGTATACGCCGTCAAAAGGAAGGTAAATCCTTATACAAGTATGTATATCCAAAAAAAACAAAAAATGCTTTATAAAGAAAAGAACNCAGACTACTGATTAGTTTTAACTCCCTATCCATATATTACTCGTCGTATGTTGGGAAAAGTTTATGACCTGTTATTTGCCAGAAATAACGAAGTGCTTTTGCAGCATGCCTACGTCATTGTGTCGTCTAGTTTTAGTGACGTCCACATGTACTGTCAGCGATCGAGACTATTTGGTGTTCTGTAGGACCTATGTAGGAAATCAAAATAAACGGTGATAATTAGGGGTCTCCCTTTCGACAGCCTTGTCATAAATTAATGAGCGCGATAATTTAATCTTTCGCATCGGATTCATGAAAGAGCTATATTTTAGCTAAAAGTTTTTGATCCACTGAGATAGGGTCAACAAAATTGAAAATAAATCTAAAACTTTGATTTATTAATGACAGTGATTTCGGATCAAAAGCCGTTTAAAGTCAGTTAAAAGTAAGATGACTTGTAAAAGGTCGACCTTCATTTTGACGGCGTTAAATGAACGCAGTTGTCAACCAAGCTGGCAACGAACATATTCGTTGCCAACTGCGTTCATACTACCGTATACGCCGTCAAAAGGAAGGTAAATCCTTATACAAGTATGTATATCCAAAAAAAACAAAAAATGCTTTATAAAGAAAAGAACAAGGCCCATGGGCCTTAACGGTCACCTGATATATTTATACAGAGAGTTTATTTTGTTTTGACATGAACAGAAATATTATTCAAAGTGACAAAAAACAATAAAACCACCTTATTCAATATCTAGCATACAGATTAAAGACTAAAAAGTATTTGAAACTAGCACCTCTGATTCTAAACAAGGAAAATGAAGAAATTAGCACACTGACTCCTTTGGGCCCCACCCTACAGCCCTTGGGGGTAGGGCTGGCTCAAAATGTAATAATCAAAGTATCATTTGCCATTATAAACCATAATAAATTCACAATTTTGGTAAAGCACCTTAAGACCTTTCTATCTATGATGAGTATTTGATTCTACCATATCTGGGTCTTGAGAAGAAGATTTTTGAAATTTTAGTCAATTTGACCCTTTTCGGCCCCGCCCCTCAGGCCCATAGGGGCTTGGGACTCAACCGGCAACCATTTTTGTTGACTTTGACGTCTCAGGTGACCTAAAAAACGGTAGCCCAGAGACGTATCTGCTAGAATGATAAATGTAGTTCCAGTGAATATAAATCGTGACACTTGGGTAAATTGAGAAAATGCACAGTGAACAAAGTAATATTGATGTGAAAAACGTACTTTTTACGCAGTCAAAGTTTACTAAGCTGAAGAAGGTAGATATGTAAATGCATTTTTTGTTCCACAGCATAATCCAGGAAATCGTAAGTTCTATTTTAAGTGACCAACATATAACATATATCTGGGTGGGGGACTAATAAAATGTACCGCCTTGCCGGGCGATAATAGGTGGCCCGGAAGTAAAGAAATTTAAAATTTTGATAAAGCACCTATGACCTTTCCATCCATGAAGAATATTTGAATTTAGCAAATCACGGTCTAAAAGAGAAGACTTTTGAAATTTTAGACAGCTTGACCATTTGGCCCCGCCCCTCAGTCCCTAAGAGCGAGTCTTAAAATGAAGGAAATGTATATCCTAAAGTATTTTTCCTATATAGACTTAAGTAAAATTTACCCCGCCCCCGCCCCGCCCCCATCCAGGGATAATGAAATTCAACATTTTGATGAGCACCTTAGGGCCTTCCATCCATGTAGAGGATTTAATATTCTAGCTGGGTCTGAAACTGAAAACGAACACTGTTGATCCCCTCCCCCAGTTTGACCCCTTTTGGCCCTGATATACAGACCCCTGAGAGTTTGGATCCATACATACAATGTAGGTTTCTTGCCTGCCTTTGAACATGGCACATTTCTGCAACAGAGTTTTATTAAATCGGTTCTGTGGTTTTGGAGTAGAAGTCAAAAATGTTAATTGGAGTAGGTCATCACCTGAGGCATTGTCTCGGTAAACTTAAAATATGAAAACAGATATGTACTGCATGTATACAGTACATATTCAAATAAACAACAACAACAACAACAACAACATAACCTGTTGAAGAGGTTTATGATAATTTTCAGTGCTGAAATACATATGTCATGTACATGTAAGTATAATATGGGGGGAAATGGAACTCTTTACAGAATATTGTATTGTTGACCATTCATGTCTGGGGGGGGGGGGGGGGGGGGGAAATATCAGGTGAAATTGGAAAAACATTGCTTAGGTTCATCAGCAACAGAGCCCCAAATATAAAAAAAAATATCACTTTCTGTATACTCTTTATACCACAATCTGTATAAAATAGCACATCTGGGTATATATAACACACCTTTAAAAGGAGTAGGTTCACAAAGGGCCAAGAAAGGCCCTTTTCTTCATCATAAACACTTTATGATTGTATGCAAAGTGGTCATTATAATTGGCCATATCATAACATGTTTAGTAAAAAAAAATCAAAAAAAAATCATGTATCTTTGAGTTATTTTAGATATTGATACAAAAAGTGTTCATGACATCATTAATATTCATAAAATGGCAGAAAATAGGTCTTGTTTTTTTACAATTTCATTTGTTAATTTATTGCATTTAAAACAAATTTTCAAAACTGGTCACATTAGCCAACTTAGAAAAGTTTGGTTTAACTTGTAGGAATTCTTTCCAGAGGGTTTTTGCGAATTAAAAAATAATTTTGGTTATGCATGTGGCTATATCACAGTAATATTTGAGTATGTTAAAAAATATTCTTTTTTTTTTTGAAATTTTTGAAATGTTCTGGGCCATTTTTTGCCTCTTTTTACATTATATTAAAACACATTCCGTGACTGACCAGGTTATAAATAAAGTTGAGGTAAAAATGTCACAATTTGTAAATGTATTAACGATCTATATCAACATTCATAAATCATACACTGTTGGCATATCTGATGGGGCCCCAATATAATTTTCAAACATTTATGAAGAAATTTAAAATGAACTCACTGATTTTAAAGATCACATTAAAATTAAGCAGAATTAAGACTCAAGGCTAACAATATTAATGTTGACTCATTCACCCCTACATTTTTAAAATGGACTTGTCCAGTCTTTGATTTTGTAAGGTTCAAATGTGACTTTAGGGGTAAATATTTTGGCATTAACAAGGCAACATGCCTTTTGGTATCCACAACCGACATAATAAGCAAGCCAAAGGCCCTAAACTCTCGCGAGACATAAGCTACAATATCTACAGGTCGGAGAGAGATTATCGTGAAGAAATCATTATTTTGATCAAAATGCTGGGTAATATTTTGCATGGATTAAATTGTATCCTTGAAATTATGTTGAACTCATTCACCCCTGAAATTAAATAATGTACTACTCCAAACCTTTGAATCGGAAGAGTTTAAATGTGTCGTGAGGGTGAATGAGTTAAATGTAGTTACATTTATGATGTAATGCTCAGCATCTTTGTGGCAACAGACAGATGACATATTTTGTATGTATAGTCAAACTGTATCCAGTCATCACAATAATACATTTCTTCATGATTATCTTTCCAAGCAGTGAACCGGTAAGTTATTGGAATTTTCTCTGGAGACATTTCATTTTTGTTAAAAACATGAGACATAGAGAATGAACCATAAAATAATTTACACAATAAACAATATATAACGGTCCGCCATGTTTTCTTTGAATCCTTTCTATGGAAACCCTCAATATTTCGCATGGTTCACAATTTTTTATTTTCACTCTCAAGTGCAGTGCATATAATAGACATGTATCTATTAAAATAGATCCTGTGAAAATATTTATTCTTCTAAAAATCTAAAAAATAAATAAAAATCATCCCCAAAAGTTAATTTTCCTTCTAAAATATAGTAAACTAATGATAAAGAGCGAAATGTTTATAAAACAGTCAAGGAAAGGTTTAAACAAAATT